TTGTGTCTGAGAATAAGTGACTCTTCTGTTCTTTGCAACTGCTGTTGTGAGAAGGACAAAAGACTGTTGTTGGGGCTCTTACTTACGTGGTTACTTTCTCCTACAAACAATTTAAGTGTGTACTTTCATGTTTTGATGCCTTATGTAAGTGGGTGCTTTGTATGAAACAAGGAATTGCTGGCCACAGGACCTGTGAGTGGCAGGTTGGGATTCCTGTGTCTTGTGAGAGCGGGCATGGAGGAGATCTTGCCCAGGTGCCGAGGTAGTGGTGCCACTTCTCCTTTGCAGAAGAACCTTCTGCTCCCAGATGAACTTCATCCCAGGGCTTGTTGCTGATCAGGAATGATAGAAATAGACTGAAACTCCTGGGGAAGGCTTTGAGTGAACCAGACCCCTAGCATGGAAAATACTGGTTTGTTTGGTTAGTTTTTTAGTAATTTAATTTAAATCGAAGATGATCTGTAATGGGGTACATGGCACTAACTGCATCTGACCATCCTAATGTATTCCAGATGCTTATCCTCACAGATATTGTTAGTTTGCAGTAGGGGCTTTGTGCACAGGTAGCAAGATGAGGAAAAGTCTGTCTTTTTTCTTTGTACACACATTTTTGTGTCCTTCTGTCTTATGTGGCTCATGGCATGACATTTTGTATGTCCTGTGTAGCCCCGATCTGCTAGTGAAATTAATGGCTAGCTGGGTGGTGGTAGGAAGGGTGCCAGTCCTCTCAGTGGGACTTCAGTAAGCAACTTCTAAACTAATATGACTTCCATAAAATCCAGAAATGCATTTGCCAATTCATGAAGAAGTGGTGTTGCCTTGTCCTGCCATACTGAGTGCTATAACTATCACAGGAAGATGTCTAGGTGCTTCAAACCTGCTTGACAATAAGGAAAACAACTGTTTTAGTACTGTTTCACCTTAGAATAGGTCTTTCCCAGACAGGCATTTGACCTGTTCATAGAATAACTGCCATTTTAAGTGGGCTGTATGGGAAGAGCGCACTGCTCTCCTGGAAGTCAGAAGACCTGCTTCCATTCCTGGCTGTTGCCAGTTTACTTCAACCTGTGAGTTATCTTCTGCTGTGTTTGTTTTGCCTGTTTGTTGAATAGATTGCCATCTAGAAGAGGAAATAGCTCTTATTTCTGTGCAAGATCTGGGCTCATGTTGCTCAGGGAAAAAAAAACTGCATCTGGTTGAGAAGTCAGTTGCTAATTTTTGCTAACCAAATTGTAGCTGAGATAAGTTTGCCTGGAGAGTACTTTCCTTTATTGAAAATGACACTATAGCTTTACATGCAATGAATTTTAAACCATGTAAAAACTTTAAAGTGCTCATGCTAGCTAAGCTTTTCCTGTTTCAAATGTGCTTGAAGCTTCCTTGAAGCAGAAGCTTTACTGCTGAAAAAAACACTTTAACTCTAGATGCTGAATAAATTTACCAGTGACTGTCAGATTTTAATTTGACCTGTCTATAACATAGTTTGTAAGGGAGAGATCCTTCAGTTAATTGATGGATTAACTTTATACCTCCAACTTGAGGCTGTTGCTAAAGATGGTTTGCTTACTGGATGCACTGTTTGGCATAGCCCATGGCTTGAGTTGATACAGCATTTCAATTCAGGCTCATAAAGTTTTGTTTCTACTAGTACTGGAATTGAAACTGAAATAAAGGAGGTGAAATTATGACCCTACTGAAGTCATTAGCAAAGCTGCCGTTGACTGAAGTAAAGCTAGGATCTCAGCCAAGGGTTTTAGTTGTTTAATTTATGGTAACATATTAATTGAGTTGTATTAAAACAAAGTTTTGAAAAAGTTAATCTTTAGCTTTGATACCATCTCCATTCCATAAATATTGTACATAGTGTTACTAAAAGTTTACCTTTTTTGGGCAGGTTGATAGAGGTAGAAGATTTTAATTTATTTTTACAATCTGTGTGCTTGCACTCCTGGGAAAGAACTAAAGTGTGCAGATGTCATTATTTCTATAAATGAAAAGGACTTTATCCTAAATCTTCTAATTCTTTTATAGTATATGGCAGCAGAGGTATCTAACACTGTATCCTGCAGGAAATATTTGGCATATTTGCAAGCTCCAGGGAGAGGAGAAGTAGGATGATAACATCCATTAGTGTTGCTTTTGAATGAGAACTTGCATAGAGACTGTCGCTAAAAAAACCCACTATTAGATTTAAAGGTGTTTTTAGCAAAAGGAATGTATTGCAAGCTTTTGACCTTCCTGTGCTGTATGAAGCTCTACTGCTGTGTGTGCCAGAAAAGCTTGTTGATTAGTAGCCTCTTCTAAAACTGTGTGCTGCCCTTTTAGAAAGTTGACATCTGGACTGTATTTATTGTACTACTTTTTCCTCACTGGATGTGCCAGAGTAGATTTTCCTCCTTTCAAATTCAATAAGCTTTGTTTCTGTAATTTGACAGAAAAGATTATTTATCTAGTTTTAAAGGCACAACCAAGCTGTGATGACAATAAGAACAAATTGTATTGTTTTAAAATGTAAATATATATTTTGCTGTACTTCTTACCTGCTGGAATAGTTTTAGCATTAAACATATTTTAATACACATCTAGAAACAGGCAAGACTACTTTTATTATTGCTTATAGTCATGAATTATGTTAATGTAAACACTGCAGTAAAAGGGAAACTAGAAATATTTGGGAAGCAAGAACTGGCATCTGAGGTCTTTTCGTCTGCTTATCAATCTTCACATTTGTCTTGCATGTGATGACTCTGGGCCAGGTAGAAATGTTTTGGGTTTTGGTTTTTTTCATTAAGAGTCAGTGTGTTGTTCCACTTGTAGCAGTCCCAAAGTACATCCAGTTTCTGTATTGCATATTGATGGTATCTTGGCAGAAAGGAAATCCAGTTATTCATTAGCTAATTCTCAGAGTAATCTTCTTTTTAACCAGCTCTTCAGGTAATACCTTCCAAGTTTCTTCATGCAGTGTGCAAAGCTAGCATAGTCAACAAGTTTCCTCTCTATCTCTGGGAAGTTTTGAGTCATTGAGTACAGTGATTTCTAATCTTTCACACTGTATTATTTTCCAATGATGTTTGTCTTGTTGTGAGGAAAAGTGGAAAAAATGGTTTTAGACAGGTTGATGTAGTTGCTTCTGAAAAGCAGATGCCATCAATAACATCGGGTGCCTTGGTTAACCCTCTAGTATTGCAGGCCACAATTTGGTAACTGAGGCTATGATAAATGTCTCACAGGTTGTCAGCAGAATCATATTGTTCAGTGTTTTCAGTTATAAGTTTTCTCCTGCAAAACATAGGGGCTGATACTGTTCTGTCAGGTCAAACAGATGAGTTGTTTTACCTGAAGCTCGCACCTAGCTCTTGTAGGCTACTCTTCCATGATGAGTTTGCTAAGCTGCTGTGAGTGAGCTGCTTCAATCCCCATTACTACTTGCTCATGGATGGAGAAATGCACACACTCCCATCTCTTAGCAAGAGGTCACCTCTGCTATTCAGTTGTCCTGTGGGGTTTCCATGATTTAAGAGGATTGGAAGGTAAGAAGAAACAAGATTGAGTCTGTTCTCTTTGAAAATCTGTGGTAGTATCCTTTCTGTATATGAACAGTTGAAATATTAAGTGCTATATTGTCTCCTTTTTGCAGATGTTAAGTGTAATGTAAGGATAGGGGTGCTTCTAAGCTGCCTATCTGATCAGGAAGTGCAGGTCTGAATGTACTAAATACCAAAGGAAATGCAGACTAGCTACAAAACTGGGGTATGCAGCATGGTGGAGGAAGGTATTTATGAAGACTGCAAAAGAATGTGCTTAAATTCCCCCCGGTAAATTAACACTTCCATTATAAGTATCTAGCTGAGAAATGTGCAAGCACACAAAACATGTCCTTGTTACTTACAAAGTAGTTTGCTTCCAAACTAATTTCTGAACAACTGTTGAATGACAGAAGTACTTTCATTCTTTCCATGCAAATCCCCATAATAAAATCCTTAATAAAATCCTTTTTAGCTTCCCACTTCAGAGTTGCCAGTGGTGGTCACTGTCTCACTTGAAATGGGATCTTTCTCTAGTAGTTTACTGCCATTGATTGAATCTTGGCTAAGTTAGACCTGGTCATCCCTTTGATGTGTAGATTTATCCAAAGACCAGACCTAGGTTTTACAGAAAGGGGAAAAAAGAAGAAAGAAAAAAAAAAAAAAGCTGTAGTAACATCATTTGTGATTGCTGTGGTGTGAACTTGGCCACATTTCCTGCCTAGAATATCCCATATGCAAACCTTGCAATAAATTCTGTCTAAACATGTTCTGCTTTAAATCTGCCTCTGTCTTAAAAATGAAATGTGCATTTGCTGTCTTTATTAATCTGCATACTGTACCAGTACAGTACTGCACTAACAAATTCATTTCTTAATGAATTCATGTAGCTCCATGGCCACAAATATATTTTCAAACTAGCTAAGTCTGCGATGAGCAGTGCAAAGAATCTATTTAAATTGTGCTTTACTGTACCTTGAAACTGTTTTCTAAAGATGCTGAATGTTTCCATCAACTCATAACCAGCTCCTGGAATATAAAATATATTAAAATGATACTAAATATAAAAGTGTGTCTGTGTGTATATATGTATATAATGATTTTAAAAAAAAATATATGTATCTGCACTCTGAAAAATTCTGTCTCTGGCCTTGTGATCAAGGCAGAGGGCAAATCTGTTTCTTGTTATTTAAGGTAACAAAGGAATTCAGGCATATAGTCAAAAGCTTTTAATCAAACTAAAGTTATGCATTGTATCGACATCTTAATACTAAGGAGATCTTTAGGATGAAGAAAGTATTTAAAACAAATACTTTGTAGTACCCTGCAACATCAGTGCTTTTGGTTTTAGATGGTTAATGAAGGTCTGTTGTGTAGTCAAAGCCATAAATGGAATGAAATGAGGTTGCTATAAACAAAGGATTGATAAGTTGTTGAAAATAAATTTTGAAGGAAAATGTCTGAAATGTTTTGCAGAGGTGAATCTGGTGCCGGGAAGACTGAAAACACTAAGAAGGTTATTCAATACCTTGCTCATGTTGCTTCCTCCCATAAAGGAAGAAAGGACCATAATATTCCTGTAAGTTGGGATATTTTCTCATTTGTTTTTTGCTCTTTTTGAGAACTACCATCTTTGCATTACAAACCCCACAACTTTTTTATTAAAGATAACCTGTAATGAAATCCACATAATTTTGTCTTCACCATTATTTTCTCTTTAGTAGTGGCTGAAATGAGCAGTTGCATGAAAATTTCCAGTTAATGTTAGCTGTTTACCTTCTGTTGTAAAATTAAAGCCTTTATGCAAACATTGTAACTGGAAACAGTATCAAAGCTTTCTGATGCAGTAAACTCCGTTTTTCAAAAAAATTTAATTAACTTGGGCAATTCTTAGTGAATTTAGTTCCCACTAGATGCAGTTTTCAAGACTACATTGTGAACAAGCTTTTCTGTTCTTTCAAAAATTAACTTGGAGGTGGGAAAAATCATCAAGCTTAAACTGCTGTAGACTTGCTATATCTGGAAGTCAGCGGTTAATAAAGCTCAAATTTTATTACATTACAAACAACACTTATGTCAGAGAATCTTGTGGGTTTTGGTAACTTGTCACTAACTCTGATTTACATAGAACTTTCTTCAGATTTACTGCCAGACTTCAAAATTTGCACTGAATTTTTAGCAATTCTTTGCTTTAAAAAATATGAATGGGTTTGTATATCTGTTGCCATGAGCGCTTGGATCTCTTTGCAGTGAAGTATTAATTCAACTTTGATACAACCAAGTAGCTTGCTTTAATGAGTACTGGTGTATGCCTGCCTTGCTACGGTAGTAGCATAGGTGTCTCTGGTGGTTCGAAGCTTTCAAACTGTATCATCTGACTTAGCAGTGACAATTTCTGTAATTTCCAGTGCATGGCATTTAATGTTAAGACAATCTCGAATGTGTCAAGACTCAAACTCCTGGAAAAACAGGAGATGAGTTTTGACCAATTGTGAAGGAAAGGCGGGCAAGCATTTGAAGTGGGAGAGAAGGAAAGATTGCTCTGCAGGTAGATTTGGAGAAATCTAGTTAAATGTATAGGGAAACTTGAATCTCTGCTCTAATCAACAGCAAATAATGTGACCCTATGCATAGGTACTTATTCAAACTGTTGCTGGTTTATCACACAGAAAAGATCAAAATTAGTCTGAGTATTCATCATGCAGTCTGAGTGTGCTGCAGGTTGTGTCCACATCAGTTACAGGCCTTAGAAGGAAGTTTCTTATGATTGGAGTATCAGCAGTATTACATGTATGTTCATGGCATTGTCTTGTGTGTTGGGAGAATATGTGGCTCTGGGGAATGCTGTTTAGAACATCATTCATCGGACGTGCTTTTCCGTGTAGGATTTGATTTATCAATATTCTTGGCCTTACCGCTGTGCAGTCTTGAACAAAACCAGCACTTTTTTGTTCCATTTCTACAGGAGTAAAATTGCCTACAGCTTTTGGGGGGAGAAGGGAATTATGCAGAGAAGGGGAATTGTGCAGGGTTCGTACCAAGTACTTCTAAATGTACTAGTGACAACTTGGAATACCTCAGGTTGAAAGGGACTTCTAGAAGCCTCTTGTCTAGCCTCCTTTCAAAATGTGCCTTCCTTCAAAGTTGGATTACATTGCCCAAGACCTTGTAAAGCTCAGTTTTGAAAATCTTGAGGTATGGAGATTATGCAACCTCTCTGCAAACCTGTTCCAGTGCTTAACCACTTGAAGCCCTATTTTTGATTGTTTAAAAAGTACTCCATGTTTATTTGGCTCTTCTCATGCTGTGTTTCCATGAGCACTTTGTGCCCCAGTACATCTGCCAAAAGAAGTACCCCTTTCTGAGCTTTGTCAGTGTAACAGTTCCTGTGGCCACTCACTGGGCTTGGAGACTGATGCAGGCTCAAACTTGTTGTCTTAAAGTCCATCTGGCTTTAAACGAAACAAGTTTCCTCTGTTTCTTGTGTGGCTGCATGACTGGTATTGAAGTGAAGGCACAGAAAAGGAGAAAGCTGGGGTGGAAGATGTCAGTGAAGGGAAGGATAAATTGCCCTTTTAAATGCAGTGTTGGCTAATTCCATTTAAATTGCTGGTTGAACTGCAATGTAATTCTCTACTTACCAGTGTGATCAAATGGGATGGTGGTGTTCATCTCAAAAGAGGTTTGAAGATGGTTGTTGTAATCAGCTGCTTCATGAACCATTGATGACTGTTGTGATGAAGACTGGAAAAGTTTTTATTCTTTGTAAAACATAATTTAGGCACAGTAAAAATAATAGGGTATTGTCCTGAATGAAAGTTTGATACTTTGATTGTGTACGTCATTCAATGCAGTACTATAGTAAGTGCTGAATATATGTTTACGAAAAATGCAGAATGTTTGTGTAACCAAAAGAGTTTTGAAAATATAAATGAGTCTCCCTTGTTCTGTAACAATTCATTTTTATTTATATGTTGCAGACAAAGAATGTCTAATCTACACACCTAATACTCAAAAGTTAGGAAGTGTCAGAATTGGGTTTATATATGCAGCCCTAATTTGTTCCTGTTTACATATTCATTAGAAAAGTGTAGAGGGCTGGCAGTGATCCATAGTACCCATCTGTACAAACTTTGCATTATCCTGTGCACAGAGAAGATGCTAAATAGGCTTGTTAAATAGACTGCTAGTCATGGATTTATTTTTATCCATCCTGTTACAAATAATTATCAGAGACTGTTCTGAATGCTGCATGGATTTTTTTATGAAGCAATTTGTATGCTGATGAATGAATAACTATATTCCCAACACTGTTCTGAAGTCTAGGGTTAACTTTGTCTGTTTTGCCTGACAGAGTGCTGTAAGAGTATTACAAACAAATGTAGCCCCCAGTTTGACACCTCAGACCATGGCCAGAGTAGCACTGATGTTCTGCCATGCCACAGATGCTCACCAAGTACACTCTGCAGCAGCGCTGATTGTGAAATGCTCTGCTTATGCAAGGAGCATCATGTAGGAGCTCTACCCATCCCTTGGGCATCCTCATGCTCGGCATTCAGCTGCTTGTCCATGTGAGTTCTCTTTCCCAACAGCCCTCTTTCCTAACAGCTAGTGACTGTCCTCAGACAGGGGTCCTGTGGGAAATTGAGTCAATAGCACATTGTAACCACGGAAGGTGGAATTGCAGCACTGAACAACCTTAATACTAGCATTTCCTTGGTTTTGAGTGTTTGAATCTGTAACTACAGTTTAATTTCCTGTTTGTTCCCAAGGAATATTAAAGGTATTGGCTTGGGCACTGTGCTAGGAAATGGTAGGTGGTGACAGTAAAAATGCAGAAGAGAACCTTTAGTAATGGTAGGAATTGGCAGAGCTAGGTGAGAGTAAGGTAGTCCCTTAAATTAGGAATAGAGACAAATTAGGAATAGAGACACTGCTTTCTAGAGCCAAGTAATGGAGGGGAGGGAGAAGTACTTGGCAGTGAGCTATAAACATAGGCTCATCTAAAGACTGAAGGTGGGATGAAAGTGTGCCCGAATCCTTGTCTGTAGTGTGCTTGGTTGAGAGTCAGAACTGACACACGTACAGTCCTAGTCGGCATGTAGCAAGGAAGAGAAGATGGAAGATATCTGTTGTAAATAAGTGAAAGTTTTAGCTTCGCATCCAATAAGTTTGAGCTCTAAAGAATTTGGAGGGGGTGGGCTGGTGGTGTTAAAAACTTTGCCAGTAAATCTGAATATTTTACCTGCACCAAGCATATTGTGGTTTTTCTTCAGTTGATAACTGTGCCATGCATGGACCAGCTTTATAAAGGCAACCACTGTGCTTTAGCTGAGGTGTCTCAGACCAAAGGTGACCCATGCTGGTATTTGTTGGTCTGGTCAGCTATCCCATGCTACTAGGCCACATGTAGGAGCCTCTCTCACCTTTGCTCTCAATTATTCTTCTGTAGGCTCAGGAGATGTGGAGAAAAGGATCTTTAGAATAAGAGGAGAGGAAGAGAGCAAGGACAAGTAACTGATGAGTGTGGGGAGGAGGCTGATGTGTCTAGAGAGGGTTTTGGACAGATGAAGCAAGGAGGGTAGCGAGGAAAATGAGACTTCTAAACTGCTTAGCTTTGTGGCTTATCATTCCCATATGTGCCAAGTGAGATGGGAAAGAAAAGAATGAAATTGTGGTGGTAATGCATGTGTTAGAGCTACTTTAATATGGTTAAGTAGTGAGTCTTAATTCTGACTCTTGGGTTCTGCTTTAGTTTACAAACTGTGGTTTTGGATGGGGAGAGAAGTCAATGCAAAATATAGAAATAATTAGGAAAAAAATTGCATACATAGCTTTCCAAAAGAAGGAAAAGTGCTGGTTGTTGCTTACTGCCCAGGGGCTGCCGTGAACTTGCATGTTCTACAGGCTGTATGAGATTGGGGAACACTCTCAGCTGTACTTGTAGACTATGGATGTACATGGACCTGATTCATGGTCAAATACATGAAATCAGCAGATATTTTCAATCATGGTAGTATGTGAAGTAGTTAAGTTCTATAACTAACTACATCTATCCACCACTGTTTCCACTTCCAGTCATCCTGGTGCTATGTATCCCTGGTTCAGATGAACGGAATTAGACTTCTGTTCATTTCCCTTCTCCCCAAAGCCTTCCCACTCCAAACCTTATCTATTTTCACTAAAATCCAGCTTTCATGGTGGTGCCATTTTAAACTTCAGAAATAATTACTGGTAGTTTCAGGTTAAGGATTGCTTTCAGTGACTGCATTTGCCTTTGTAGCTGGAAAGTTAAATTGTTTAATTTGTTTATAAACAAAATTAAATTTAAACATAATTGAAGTACAGGATCTTGGGTAAACTCATGCAGACTGAAGCTCCCCTTAGTGAAGACTTCCCAGATGAGCTTTAATGGCCCTAATTTAAACACAGAGAAGTTAAATATGTGCCTGATTATGCTCAGTTCTGTTTCTAGTGAGGACAGAAATGGACACCCTGAGAGAGCAGATCATCTTGTCTGAAGATAAGCAAATGAAATGCCTCCTAGGTTCTTAGGTGTACCTGTCCCTCTCTAGCTATTACAGTAGGAGTGGTAGTTTCATACTGAAACATCTAACCTTTTTTCAGATGCCTGAGTTGTTTTCTGAGCAGGTATGATGCAGCATTGCAAAATTCACATCACTTAGCTGGCAGCGGTTTGGCTTATTCAGCTGCTTTACAGACCTCTGTCAAAGTCTGTTATTCTGCACTAAGACAGTGCTAGTTGTTTAAAATAATAGACGTAAATGGAGGAAGTGTGCATCTGGCTTGGTATGGAAATTTCTTGGTGTGTGTGTGTTTCACAATATTTTCTCCATAGGCTCTCTGATGTGAAGCTCAAGATTATTAATCTTGCAGACTAAGCCAAGGAAATAATAACAGAATAGAAAATTTCTGCAGAAACTGTGCAAACTTGAATTTAGAGGGTTTTTATTTTACTTTATTACATTCATGTTCCATTTACCCTGCTTTCTGGCAAAATTTTAAGGTCTTCCAGTTTCTTAAGATTTTGCTGCTTCTCATGTAGACAGTCATTCTTGAAAGAAACAAACAAAGCTGCTGTCTCGATTGTAGGTTTGCATTTCTTAAACACTTCAGGTACAGTGTGAAATCAAAATGCCAGACTCCCTAAGTATTGCTTTCCTCTTATTTTTTTAATAACTTTTTTATTTTTGAAGAATAATGATAATCTTATCCATACAAAACTACCTTGCAGTGACTAAGGCTGTAGAGAAAGCTACTTGTTGTTGTGGGTTTGTTTTTTGTTGTTGTTTGGCAAAACTGTGCAAAGCAGTGCACAACTAATTAAACTATTGCCCTTTTTCCTTGCTGCCCAAGGTCCATCTGTCATCTTGTGTTTTATTTGGAATTAGTCCTTTGCATAAACACAGGTTTTAGTATTTTGTGCATGCAATGACAAGCAAATAACTTCTTTTCTAAAATTAATTTAAACAGTTCCTGTTAAGTGAGTATATAGTTAAACTAAACCTACTGGCATTAATTATTTGGGATGTAACTTGCAGCTGGAATGCTTGCTTGCTAACGTATGCATTTGTTTGTTTGCAATGAACAGCCCGAATCACCTAAACCCGTGAAACATCAGGCAAGTGTTTTTCTTTACGCTTTTAAAGTTATGTAGGCAAACTGACATATATTCTTCTATTTTCTGTCAACTTCTATTTATAATGTGGGAAATCTTGTAGATGTATATGGCTAATAGTAAACTTTGTGAATATTTAACTGGCTTTGAGAGAGTGGACTAGTGAACAGCTTAAAAGTTCCTCAGTGTTGCAAAGCACTCCTCACCATTTTAAAGTGGTGTTACTCTGTCCTGAAGCAAAAGGTTCACCCTCACTCTAGTTGACCTTCTCCAATATGCTATCTGTGTACTTGGTTAATGTGCTGCGAGAGTGCAGAACACTTTTTTAATATTAAACAAAGTACTAAATAAGAGATTAATGGAAGCTACAGAATTCTTTTGATTAATATACTGTTTTGTCTGAGTATTTTTATAGCTTCTCAGATAACCTGGTAAGACTCTGATCTCAACTGTAAAAGGCTTGGCATAACCAATTGTTCTGAAATCAAGTGTTTCCCATGACTTTCTAGGATAAGTGGTGTGAGTGATGGTGGTATCTGTTCAGTGTTGCTGCCTGAATTAATGTTTGAGCTTCAGCTGCTCTTACTCCTCAGGTTGGCTGGAGCTGACATGCAGATAATGTTGTCTGTTTCCTGCTCCCCTAATCCCCCTCTTCCTGTGGGCAGCAGTAGTCAGTCTTTTCTAGACCAACTTCTTGTACGAGAGCAGGAAGTGCAGTACTCCGAGTCCTATGGAGTGTACTTGTGAAGAAGCATAAAGATGAGGGTTAGGTGGAAGTTGGGGATAAGACTGTGAAAAGAGATAAACAATTGCTGCCACATGTTATGCAAGATAAATGCTCCACTCGCTAACCTGAGATGGTAAGTGATGCCTTTTTGTCATGGGCACAAGCTCTTAAATAAAGAAAAAGCTTTGCAACAGCTCCGTATGGTGCAACCAAGGCTTGGTAACTGAAGAAACTACTGTGAGTTAGTTTAGCTGATTGTGTTCTTCCCCTTTACGTCTTTCTGACAGCTGACTGTAGTGCAACTTAAACTGTAGTGGAAAGGAAAATAATAAAAGAAATTTCAAGTTAAGTCTGGTGTATTGGAAGTGAAAAGAAATCACATGGACAGTTGTGATGCCTTTGCTAGTGTGTGTTAACTTGTTAAACCTCTGTAACCCAATCATGCATCTGAGCTCACAGTCTCATTTTCAGAAGTTACAGACATTCTTAGTATTTAACCTAATCCTCCCTCCTTGCAAACCTCAGTTCATTCTAAGGGTTTTTACTAAAATATTTCTGTTCCAAAAATAGATGGAGCAGTGTTTAGTTAACCCTCATTTTGCTTAGAGTTAGCATGTCAGGGTTGAAATAAACTGTTTGTTGGCAAACATTTTAAATGTATCAGTGGAAGCATGCTAATCCAGAATTCTTTACTGCATAAACCATAATCATTAACATTTCTGTTTCAATGTCATTTTGAACTACAGATTGGATCCCTGTTGTATGTGAGTAGCATACATATCCCTGCCTCACCCAGGCTTCACAATGAACTGAATCACTGGGGTGCTGGTTTTTCTGAAACTGAGACAATAACCTGTCCTTATCTTAATGTTGTCCTGCATGAAATACTGCATGACTTTACTTTTTCCACAACACTGCAATACTGCTTTTTCCAAGTTCTCTTTAGATGCCTATGTAGGAGATATGCCTATAGGCCAAATTTACATTCTTTCCAAAACACTGACCAGTTCTAAAAGAGAATTGGTTTTGGCTATAAAGCAATCCATCTAAAAAGGAAAACTACTAGATCAGAAGCCGTTTAATATAGTGCGAGAGGTTTGCTGTTTCTTAGTGATGGCTATGACAAGTCTACTTGCAAGTACAAACCACAGAGGCTGGCTAGGCTGTGATCGCTCTGTTTGTTCTCACAGTTTTCGCCCACATCTGAGGACCCAAGTGAATATTTTCTTCAAATCCTCAGAGATGATTGTAAAAATGAACTACTAAGAACTTTTTGCATTCAGTTGGAGAATTTGAGTACAATTATTTTACGATGCATTGTAGAAGCTCTTCTGCACAAAAACAAATTAAGGTGGTGGTACACAGAAGCACTTTAAAGCATGGACAAAGTGTGCCTGCAGTGAGATGCTTTCAAGTGGCACAGTGATGTTCTGCGGAGGTGTCAAATTTTGAAGTCAGTGTGCTTTTTTTTTTTCCAGAATAGCTAGAATTTAAAATGTAAGCTGTGACATGCTTGCTGTGTTTAATATACGTAATGTGGTTTATTTCAAGCTGTGTACAGCATGGTAAGCAAGCTTCTCATTTTTATACTTGGTGTCTTAGCAGGAGCTGACAGCATGGTTGGGAGAGGAGAACAGAAGGAATGGTGTGAGCAAATGCTTTCCCACTATCTGATGTGTTTATGTAGGAAACTTTCAGCATATAAATTGCAGACATGCATATAGTGGTTATAACAGGGATCTAGTTTTTCTCCAATTGTGGATTCTTTGTCAATTTAAAAGTGCTCCTGAGAACTGTAATGTTGGCAGACCTAACATATAGTGCATAGGCACTGTGGCCTGTGTAGTGTTTAGTGTGCTCTGGGCTAAGACTCGCACATTTTTCTTCTTTAGTTACTTCAAAGAGTATGTAGTCCCAAAGGGAATACATTTGGAAGTAAACAAATTTTGAGCAGATATCTTGAGGTCACATTAAAGAATGAGCAGCCTTTTGTTTCCAGGAGGACTCGAAATGTATTTCAATATACAAATGAAAGCCCCTTTTAGGTGTTAACTAATGAATTTTAAAAATTCCTGTGTAAGAATTGACCTCACGTGGAAGCCTTAAGAGACGTAGGTTTCCCATTCTTTGATGCTTAGTCTGGGGCCTTTATTCATGTATGCTATAAATAATTGGAAAAAGCAGGTTTATGAACACAAATGTCAGTTTTTGAGACTATATTCCAGACAGCTTCACTTTTTTTTTTAAACCATCCTTCAGAGCAGGAAGTCAATATCATATTTTCCTATGTACATACATGCCTCCTGGGCTCATGGAAGCAGCACAGATTTTTTTTTTTGTTACCAGACCTCCTCATGGACAGCAATTGTAAAAGCTGTTGTGCAATTTCCTTAAGATAAGTACTTTGATTTCTACATCCATTGGCTTGAACGTAAAGAAACGTTTAAAAAAAATGCATTAAACATACTGAGCAATGTTGGCTGAATTGAGCAATTTGAAAATGATCTTTATATTTGGTATTGCTCAGTTCCTATTATGCCATTCTGGCATGCTTCTCGGGCGCGTTCAGGTCAGAGATGTTGCAATGATATGAATGTCTGGCTGATTGAAAGTGAGTATTTCACTGATTTGAAATCCAGTTTGAAAATAGGTATTGCAAAATAGCTATTTGTTAAATCACTAAACAGGTAGTTTAAGAATAATCTTGCACTAAAATCTTAAAACAGTTAAATCAGTTTTTCCTCTTAAGCACTCAAAGTCTGTGCCTAATTTCATTAGCCCTAAATGTGAATTTTCTTTTCCATGTTCAATGATTTTCAACATCCATTAAGTCCTATTGGGTCACTGCTCTGTTTGTGTGTGTGTGTGTTTTTAAAAAACAAAAAAACCCCAAACAACCTCCAAAACCCAACAAAAAAAAACCAAACCCAAAACACATTATTCACTGGATGGAGGAGTCTATCAGTGGATTTGGAAGTGAGGGGAAAAATGATAACCCCCTTCTGAAGGTGGTATCACTGCCACAACCTGGGTATAAAATGACTGTCAGGAAGAAGCAGAATATAGGAACACTTAATTGCCTGTATACTGTGCTTATTATGTCTGTTTATTTTTCTGTTTGTGTGGTTTTTAGGGGGAGCTGGAGCGTCAGCTTCTTCAGGCGAATCCCATTCTGGAATCCTTCGGGAATGCAAAGACAGTGAAAAATGACAACTCCTCCCGCTTTGTGAGTTACTCCTTTTCTCTTTAGAGTCTATTAATCTGGATTACTGTTTATGGAGAAATTCCCTTTTTAGGAATTTGTCTAATTAGTATCAGAAGCTTTCTTTGTTCTCTTTCCTCCATGAATTCAGGTTCTCTTATGATGCTTTCTGTATTGTGTTGGGGTCACTGAAGATGCATCCTCACTGGCTCTTGGTGAAACTTGCTTCAATTTTTTCCAGTTTCTAACTTTAACCATCCTTGAACTGACAGTGGTGTTCATAGTATAACAAATATAGTTACGCTGTAGAGCTAAACTGTGGCTTGCATGCACAAACTACTGCTGAACTACTATAAAGTATGAAGGAGCATGACATCAACATGGAATTTGGCTAAATATGTAGCCTTCTTGTCAATAGCTATGACTCTATGACTTAGAGAGAACATCCTCAATTTTTAAAAAAGCACAAGACTTGCATATAAAAACCTCTCTAAATTTCCATGCCCTTCTGTCTGATTTACTGAAGGAAAGTCAAAAAGACAGTATGACTTATTTAAGGTGTTGGGCACTCTTGGTAGCTGGTTGATGTTTTTGTTGGGTCAGTGCCTTCTGCCACCAAAACAGTATGTGAACAGATAAACGCTTTTAACACTTTTGATGTGTTCCATAGTTTTAAAAATAGTGGTGGAATTCAGGCTGAATAGCTATTTACCATTTCTTAAAACTTCCTTTCCTTTGAAGGGTGGGGGTGGGGGGGAATCCATCTCCTATTTCAGGGGAAAGATGTTTTTAGCACAGCTTTAAAACTGTATAGGAGGTATTAAATCTTTTTTCTTGTGAGAACAAAACTAAAATTTACAGAACAAATGAAAGATTTCTTGGCTGCCTTGATGTTTCAACAGTTGCTTGGATTTATAGTGTATGAACTCTGCTCTGGTGATAAGGACTCTGGAAAACTGTATGACTAAATCCCTTAGCCTTTTCAATCAAGAAGGGAGTGCAGAATACTGTAGAAATTCAACTTTGACAATTTTATAGCCACATTATTTACAAGATGCTTATATGTTTTGTATAGGATTTATAATATCAACAGGTTTCACTGCATAATAATTCTACTTTGTTACACATCTTGAATCCATCAAAGATTGTACTAATTTAATGAGGATACTTTTTTTCATAAAAGATGTTAACATCTGGTTTGTATTATATTGAAGTCTGCATTGCCATCATGAACATAATCACTCAGATGGCTCCAGCTCTGTTTTTATAAAGGAGCAAGTATAATGCACTCCAGATGGTGTCATCTTGTGCAGAAAAAATAATCTTTACTAACAACCATTTTAAAACCTGACTTAAAAAATACATATCCTCCCACAAAGTGAGGAGTGCTGTTGTTCAGTCCATACAGACTTGACTGACTGTACCGTGCAGCATGAGGATGCCAGCCTGTTGCCTACTTGCTGATAATACCAGATAGGACTGAAATAAGACTAGTGCCAAATAATTTTTTTCTTTTTTCTTCTACCAAAGGCAGTATTGTCTTGTGTTTCAGAAAATAAAGTCTCGAGTTTGCAGTGGATAGGAGAGTGGGCTTGCTGGGTTCATGTGGCAGAACTAAATGCTTCCTTCTGATGTGGTTTTTACAAAGCCATGTACTTAGTGCTATAATGATAGTGTAAACAGAATTCAGTTGTTAGATGACCACCACTACAGTCTCTAACTGATAAATTAAAGATTTCATAGCCAGATTTGCCAGTGCTAGCTAAAAGGATGCTTTTAAGAAGGTGCACTAGATAATTAACCTCTCTAGTTCAGACTTCAGTGATGACTGAACTTTGAGGCAGGGAGTGTGTGGGTCCCCTCTTCTGATGTGTCAGCTTGTTTAATGACTGCATTTCCTCTCAATTATTTTTGTTCATGGGACTGGTGGCTTGACAGCAGGGATTAGATAACTTTTAAGGGTGAAACGAGTAAAGTGGTTCTGAATTATATCAGAGAAAGCCACTGTATGGACCTTATGTAATGCTTCATACTTGTTTTCACATGTAACGTGGCAAATTCAAGCCATGTCATTCTAAGAAGGCTCTGTGTTACCTGTTCTGGGTAAAACATTGTCAGCTGCCATTCCTCACATGCTAGTGCTGACATATGCCTTATGTATCTAGTCTATTGCCTGAATTTCAGTGAAATGTCGGTTTATTCTTTGTGACAGTTATATTTATAACTTTCTGGAATTGTTACTGAGCAAAAAGTATAAATACTTCAGTTACAAGCTGAGCTTAGAGTGTTCTGTTTCTTCATACTCAGAAATCTGAGTTTAAGTGTTGATCCCTAACAGGGCATGCTTGAAAACAAGCCTTGTTCTTTGGCATGGTCGTTTTAGCACCACTGGCTTTCCAAACAAACTGCAAATTAAATAGTAGGGAGTAACCTTTGAAGCTAGTTTAAAGTATTCCACCAGTTTTCTTGAAACTTGGAGAATTCACTTTGAGTTGAAGATGTACAACCACAGTCATGGAGCAGTTGCTTTGCTCTGAGACTAAGGCAAGATAAGGCTGGTAGGTAGGTTGTACCTTTCTCTGGATTTACTAGTCTGGTCGGCAGGAGAAACTTGGTCACTCTTGTGCACACAAATATTTTTTATGTGAATGGGCTTTATCAGGGCAGTTGAGAAGGATAGGGTGTGCTGGTAAGAAGTTGCAGTAGCTCAAATGATTGCAGCAACTTGTTCAGGCATAAATCTGCGGCATGGCAATATATTCCCCCAATATACACTTACTAGGTCAGGCCATTGCTAGAATACATATATTCTACAAGCTAGTAGAGTAGAATATTCAATATGAAAATCAATAGTACAGTCCCTGAGCTAAATAGATCTGCCAAACGGGATCTCACTTTAACATACTGATAGCGCTAATCTGTCAGACTTGAGGTGAGGATTTGGATGCTGATTGTAAGAGTGCTTTCAGAAGGCCACTGCAAAAGATATTAGTAGGTGGCTTTGTGGAGATACCATCAAAAGAAGCATTTAGACAGTTGTTAGCAAACTGCTGTGATGCTCCCTGATCTTCAAAACTTGTTTATATGTGGATAGAGGACTGTAGAAATTGGATGCAATGAAAATGGAGAGCCCAGTGTAGTCACTGGGTATTCCCACTGGTTTCTTCACATGTTTGCAACCAGGGGAATACCTAACAGTTTCATGAGCACAAACTTGAAATGAAGTAATGGTGCTGTTAAAAGTGGTCCAACTCCAAGCTGGAGCCTGTTGTCCTGTTGTGAATGTTTGTAGCCAAGTGACAAATCAGATTGGGGAACTGATGTGGCTTAAAACTGGTATAATATATCTGCTTGCAACCCCTTTCTTTCCAAGAGCTGCTCTACATGTGGGAAGCATGCTCTTTATTTGCTCCTTTGCGGAGAAAAGGAGATGTATGTGGAAGAAATGGTTATATTGTCTCTTTCTGTGGTTTAACCCCAGTTGGCATCTAAGCACCACACAGCTGCTCATGCACTCCCCCCTCATGGGATGGGGGAGAGAATCAGAAGAGTAAAAGTGAGAACTTGTGGGTTGAGATAAAGGCAGTTTAATAGGGAAAGCTGCTCATGCAAGCAAAGCAAAACAAGGAATTCATTCACTACTTCCCATTGGCAGGTAGGTGTTCAGCCGCCTCCAGGAAAGCAGGGCTCCATCACACATAATTGTTGCTTGGGAAGACAAACGGCATCACTCCAAACATCCCTCCCATCCTTCCTTCTTCCCCCAGCTTTATATGCTGAGCATGACATCATATGGAATGGAATATCCCTTTGGTCAGTTGGGGTCAGCTGTCCCAGCCGTGTCCCCTCCCAACTTCTTCTGCACCCCCAGCCTACTCACTGGTGGGGTGGTGTGAGAAGCAGAAAAGGCCTTGGCTCTGTGTAAGCGCTGCTCAGCAATAATGAAAACATCGGTGTGTTATCAACATTATTCTCATCCTAAATCCAAAACACAGCACTAAACCAGCTACTAGAAAGAAAATTAACTCTATCCCAGCTGATACAAGGACAGTATCCACCCCTTATTCTATACTATTTATGTCATGCTCAGGTCTCTCGCTATCCAATACTTCCTCATTAACCACCCCCTCCTTTCCATCCTTTGATATAATACACAGATATCATTCCCTTAGTCTGTGGACCACCCTTGTAAAATGTCCAGAAGTGTCCACAAAATGTCCGCTGAGTTAATTTAGTCCATGACTTTGAGCTCCATCTCCAATGGTGGTCACTCAGGACAAGAGAGGTGGTGTGTTGTGTGGAGTTACTGGGCACCAAAGTCAGCTCAGGTTGGGTCACTGCTGCATTTGCACTGCTTCTTGTAAGGCTTGTCCTCCATTGGTTCAGGTGGTTCCTGCTATAGTAATTCCTATAACATGCAACTCAAATTGCTGTAACCCATGATTTTAAAGATAGTTGCATTACAATCTCCACCCCTGGTCCCTTTGGGCCAGACCATTGGGTTTAACATTGCAATGAACTCATCCCCTTGCCCCTGCTCCACCTTGGACTTATCCACAGACTGCAGTCCCTTAGGGGAGTACCTGTTCCAAGTGGAGCCTTATCTATGAGCCACAGTCTCTCCAGGAGTATAGCTGCTGCAGCATAGACTTATCCACAGCCACAGTTGCCTTGAGGTGTACCTGTTCCAGTGTGGCCTTCTCCATGGCTACTAGGAAGAAAATTAACTCTATCCCAGCCAAAACCAGGACATTCTCTTAGTCCTTTCTTTACCAACTGCTAGAAGAGAGAGGCCTTGCAGATAGCAGCCATCCTGCTTTTGGAAATGGAAGTAGAAGTATGATGGGCTGGGCAGCACACTGAGATTCAGGATTGCTGCAGATAAAGCACCTTTAGGTACCAGTAAGTTTGTTATAGAAGTATGTGCACTTAAATCTCAGCGTTGCTTTCAACCCTAGGCAGCATGTTCTGTTAATGTGAGAAATTGAGCTTCACTTTCAGAAAAGTTTTTGATAAGTCTGGATTACAAACATATCTAGAATACTAGTTCTTTAATCTTTAGAAAGTGTGTGCAGTGTAACATATTACATTGAAATGATGGCCCAGCATATTGAAGGGAAAAGATTTCATTTGAAGTTGTGTGAAATGCTTGTTATATGAATGCAAGTAGGTTTATGTTTTTATGTAGACAGCATTGTTGTCCTAGTAAAAAAAAATATTAGTAATTACAAAAAAATCTCTTTTCTTTGCAGGGCAAGTTCATTAGGATTAACTTTGATGTTACTGGTTATATTGTTGGGGCCAACATTGAAACGTGTATCCTACTTCATGCCACATCATTGTAAAATGTGTAAAACTTTCCTGAGTGTTTTGCTTTTAACCCTAGAATTCATTGGAATGCAGTGAAAGGTTACCACACTTCTACATTCCTTTGACAACATCCATCTCTGCCTTTATTTTAAAATAGTTGATCAAATATTGTGAAGTCAGTGTGCTTACTCGTGCTTAGAAATCAGATATTCCAAAATTTAGCACTCTGAAATCTGCTGGATTTTCAGACTAGCCTTAAAAAGAGGGTGTATTAAATAGAGAAACCATTTAAAGTATGCTTGCTGTATGAACATTTCTGGAAAAAAACTGCCTTCCTAATCAGAAGCTGACCTACTATATTGTGCTGAAAGCTTGGTTTTGCTCTCGTCAGCACTGCAGAAGCAGCTCTCTGCCTGGAAGGAGGTGGTGCTTATTATAAAGTGTTAGAGCTGGAAGTGCTGGGACACCTTCTGTTTTCTTAAGTCTTCTAGATACCAGTGTAGGTTCAATAACACGAGACCTACTAGCAATTAATACTGAAGTCTAATTCAGTTTTAGCTTTAAGGTTCATTTTAATGATTGCGTAAGAACAAGTGAAAATACTTGCACTGAAAGCCCTTCTCTAAAGTTGTTTTCTTTATACTAAAAATGATGTGTGTGTTATTCTTTTTTAGTTTGTTTAGCTTGTTTTCTGGGGGAATAGCAATAGGGTGGTCATAAAATTATGAAATCGGAAGTCTTAGTAAACAAAACCCAAATCATGTGAGTATTAATCATAAATAATGCTGCAGTTAAGCTTTCATTCTGTTGCTATGAGTTAAACTGCTTAATTTTAAGTGCACGGAGTGTTTGGAACTGTAACAAAATAGAATTTCCCAATAAGGCTGGGAAAGATCTATAGTTATTCAAAATATGCCTTACTGATAAATGTTTTTTTTCATACAGCACAAGAATGAAGGCAGTTTTTGCTTGTATGAAAGTTCAGATGAATTGTTTTGCCTAGAGCTCTGAAAACAGGAAGACTTAACTCTTAGGGAATTTTTTTTCTTCCATCACAAGAACTCATCCTTGCTTGTAACTTGTGTCATTTCAAATCCCTGTCCCATGTTTGTTTTACAATATGGAATATCAAGAAATAAAAACTTAAATAACATTCCAGCTTATGGCAGCTTACTAGCTACTATCTGCTGCACAAATTGAATTTGGGAGCTGTTCAAAGGTAGTGCAGATTGTATGTAAAAATGCAATGCTTGAAAGAAGTGGCAAATGTACTTCAGATAAAGTACTTTTGAGTTCAGCAGCTGCTGGGTTTTTGGTATTAAGAGCTGTAGTAGAAGACTGTAGTAGAAGTGGTTGAAAAAGAATGGCCACTTCCCCCTCTTACTTAAACTTCAGCTGATCCATTACAGAGAATTAAATGTGGGCTTTTACCAGTCTGAATTTGAAATCTCTTAGTTACTGAAAGTTCAAATTTCATATTGGACATACTTCTGTCATTACTATTAAAGTTCTCTTTGGTCTTAAAGTAATTATATAGCCTGTTTTGAAAGTTTTGTTTGCACTGGATGTCTTTAGCCAAAAATTGTAAAGGATCCTTGACTAGTTATAATCAGACTTGTTGGAAAAGTCTCGTGCTGTTCGTCAGGCTAAAGATGAGCGGACATTTCATATCTTCTATCAACTACTAGCTGGAGCAGGAGAACACCTGAAGTGTAAGTTCAGAATCTCATTTTGTAAACCTGTCGCTTCTGTGTGCGGCATTTGTTATTTCAGTGTTAACACAGTTGTGTTTGAACTGTTGTTTGGTCTTGAAACAGTGAGTTTTAAAAGAAGAATGAAAAGCCATGTGGCTTTGTTTTGAAATAACTTCTGTGTCTTATCAAGTATGCTGTCAAGCAACTGTTGCATTTCAAGCAAATGGCTTCTACATGACAAAGTACAGTTTGGGCAGCCTCTGGCTGGGAATTACTGGATTGAAACTGCAGTGCTCCCAGCTGATAAATAACAAACCTGGTCAGCAGTGTCAGCCATATCTGCCTTCAACTGGGTAGAAAAGCAGCCATTTTACCAAAACATAATGAAACCCTGTGTCTGTCTTCAGCCATTGCAGTACTATGTTGCTTATTGTCTTTTTTTTTTTCCATTGGTAACTGAGAATTTCTGTTGTGATGAGTGAAACTATATGAAGGTATAGACTTCAGAGAATTGATCCACTCTTTCTTCTCCTGCATTAGATAAACCAGTGTTTAGCATTCTTGATGTAGTAATCATCAATACCTAACTGCATTTCTGCTTGTGTCTGTTACCTTTCAATGGAGATACTTCTTTTAGGATATTCCAAATAGGGATTTGAGATGATGCTAGATCTGAGCTGGGTAATGTTCTGTTTACAGGCTTAATGCATTAAAGAGCTGATATAAGCAGCTACAGATAGAGATTCTGGGAATCTGGCTTCAGCTTCTAAGGTACACTCATATTTTTAGAGTTTCAGAAGCTGTTATAATGGCTTGTAGCCATATTTGAGGAACTGATTTTTCTAAAACATAGTTTGTACATTTAGTGAGAACAGAGTACAGGTGGGTGTGAACAGCATTTCTTCTAGCTTATTTTTCTGTCTCTTCCCCTTCCCTCCCATACAGCTGACTTGCTGCTTGAAGGATTTAACAATTACAGATTTCTGTCTAATGGCTACATCCCCATTCCTGGGCAACAAGACAAGGATAACTTTCAGGAGACTATGGAAGCCATGCATATCATGGGATTTTCGCATGATGAGATCTTGTGTAAGTTGGGGTGGTTTTTTTATTTTTAAAGTGTACCTTTTTCTCTTGCACACATGCACACACACTTGCTGATTTTAATGTCACCAAAATTAATGTTGCTTCAGTGTCTTGACAGCCTGCACCAAATGTTTACTGAACATGAGTTAGAGTTGAATTAAAGCCATTTGCCCAAAAAGTGCAGTACAAACTCATTTCCTTTCTGAAATCATACTTCGAGTTTGGAAGCAAAGTGACACAAGTAACAGAAGAAAAATTTGTTAAGCTGAGCCCTCCTCAATTAAACTGTTGCATGTGTCTTTTGGTAATGCAGCAATGCTGAAAGTGGTGTCTTCAGTGCTACAATTTGGAAATATTTCCTTTAAGAAGGAGAGAAATACTGATCAAGCTTCTATGCCAGAGAATACTGGTAAGTTGACCATGTTTGTATGGCTTCCTTTAACTTATGCTGTAGTTTTCTTCCTGCCATTTGTTTAGTGCATATCGGTAAAAATACAGAGCAGTCTTCTGAGCTTCCTTGATAGCGCTCTGTGCCAGAAAAGAGGCCGTGACTGTTGTGGGAGTAGCCAATGGACAATTAATAAAACCCCTCTTCCATTCTCGTAATGCAGACAAATTTAAGTAGCCATCAACATAATGTATGCTGTTTGCATCGCTTCTAAACTTTGAACAAGTATTTCAGTTGTAGTCGTCTTTATTGCTATCTACAAAGACTTAAGTGCTAGGAAAAAGTGCATGCTTAAATCAGTTTGTTTTTCTTTGGTTCTTGACAGAAGTTTTCTTGCCAATGATAAGAGCCCTGGAGCCAAGCACAACTTCCATAGTGAAATGGCTGAACATAAGAATACTATATTTAGAAAAATCTGGTTTCTGAAGTGGCATGGCAGTGTGACTAAGATTTAATTTATCAGTTAGTATCTGCAATGCAATCAGCATTTTGAGGAGTATATTTCTTCACAAAAAAATAGAGATAGCTGCTGAAACAAATTTCAGGTTTTTAATGTAGTACTTCAGTACCAGCCTTTTAAATGCTATCATGGAAAGTCAGCTTTGAGAATTGACATCAATGGAAAGAGCAGTAAGAACAATCATTCACAGGACCTGCTGCACATGCACAGCTCCAGTTCTTGTCTGTGTCTCGTTTTGTAATTGTCTTAAACTGCTGTGCAGGTAGGTTGCTTGCAATTTCCAAAACTTTTGTCACTTCTCAGGGCAGTGGCCTGCTGCCCAAAGTGCTCCAGCAAGCAGGTATGGGTAAAGTTCAGTAGTCATTGACTCAATATTTGGTGGCAGTTGGCACTTTGATTTTTTTTTTTGCAGTGAGGAAAAAAGGTTGGGTGAGGGATTAGTTTTTTGGGCTTTTAGTGCCAGCTTAGACAACTCAACTGGGTCGTTGTCCATTTAGAAGGTGTGATGTAGAAAGATACAAATGCCTCTTACTTCCTGACTATATTGACTTCGGTGTTACCATTGGTTTTGGACATAAATTCTGAATTATAATACTGGAATAAATATATTGATACTATTGGATATTTATAATACTGGATACAAAATTCTGAATTAGAAAGCAAAGATGCTGAAAAGCTCAGATCATAGTTAAAGCATGTTTCTGTTCTCTTGTATTTAAAAATTACTTTAGTTATGTGGTCTTTGTTGTATCTTTCTGAAGACACTGAGTGAAACTGACTCTCCCTTCTTGTCATCTGTATTGTCACATCTCCCTGTAATGGATTTCCCTAGCATCCTCCAGAGAAATAAGTGTGTCTTGAGAGCGATTCATCTCATTTAGAGGCATGTGTCTGAAATAGGTCAGGTTAGTGTTTCCATAGATGGGAAGGAATTTGTGTGGGTAGTGAAGTGAACCTATTCAAAGAATACCCTATAGATAATAAATATAGAAAACAAGTATCTTTTTCAAGTATAGGTACAAGAGGTGGCAAGAAAGCCATATAGCCTTCATGGATGAAGAGGAGGGAGAAGCTGTATTTAGAGAACCATTTCATGCTTACCAGATTTGGAAGAAGCCTTTCTGCTGAAAGGGCAGAGGTTCATAAGCAACCGCATAAAGTTCATGCTTCAACTATGATACGAGTTTTTCAGTATCTTTGCTTTACAATAATTCAGAATTTTATATCCAAAACCCAGTAGTAATAAAACACAAGTCAGGATAGTCAGGGCTTTCTACAGTTGCACCTTTTTAATGGATCTTCCTCAATTATAAACAAACAAGATGAATTATGCTTTTTTTAAAGTGCAAGATTAATCAAGCTGAAATAGTGTGAACCAGTCCTACCCTTAGAAGTGATAGAACTTTGACTTGAAAATGGTTTAGTTTCCTTCAGTTAAATCTCTGAAATGCTGGCTACAGCCTCTTTCAGTGTCTGAATCGGATGTGATTTTTAGTATTACCTCTGCTATGGTTTATTGTTGTTATCGTTACCTAAGGTTTATTACAAACTGGAAAGCTAGGGACAATAAATTCTATGTCACAGGTTCATGGAAGAGGAGCCGAGTGTAGTGTTTGGAGTACTGCATGGGGAAGAAAACTCCTCCTTCCTTAAAAACTGTAATATCCTTTATATAGTATCCATTATACCATAGTACCAAGCTTATGCTCATGGCTACTTAATATTTTTGAGTTCTTGGGTTTTTTAAAGATCCTGACGGCACTTGTTACTTGACACCTAAGGTTGTAAGTTTTATCTGATGTGCTGATGTGTATTATTATGCCCAAAGCACAGAAATGCTCCTGTATGTGGAGTGAAAGAAGTGCTCAATGTGTGATGCCACCCTAATTTCACTGATCAAGTTGTGTGTTGATTCATGAACCCTTCTAATGAGTATATGGCCAGACAGAGAATCTCAACATTAAGAGCAAGTAGTAGTGTTTTTAATACTAGCAAACAAAAAAAAAAGTGGAAGCTCTTATATATTGGCATTAAAATCTATTTTCCAATGCTGATTTGTTTAAAAAAAAAAAAAAGAAGCTTTTTTCATTTTGACAGTAAAACAGCAAGCTGTCAGATTACAAAGATAATGGGTTAAAGTACTTACTGGATAGTGTGGAGGGCTTCCTGCTAAAGGGCAACACTTATCCGGACCTAAAAATACCTTTAGTGTCACCTTCATTTTTAGAAGTATGGAACCATAAACACCTAAACTAGTGGAAAATTTATTTAGGAAAAAGGGATTGATGCAGCAAGAATATGTAACGATGGTGTGGGTAACGCAGTGTTTCAAGTAATGATCATGATACCAGGAGAGTTCATTCTGTCTAAAGAAAGTGTGCTGCTGCTTGCGTTGTTACTCTATATAAAAAAAATTACAAATACATGTTTTAAATAGTTTAAACAACACATTTTGAAATAGTCTGTAATAGAAGCATTACAATGGCATACCTGCCTAAATTGAAACAGTTTTTAAGCAACTTTTAGTATGATGGAGTTGATGTGTGATGTCCTCATACTGTGCTTTTTTTTCCTGGAGATGAAAAAATGAATGTTTCCTATTAAAGTAGCAAAATGAACACTTTTACGTGGGCTATGGACTGTTACATGACTTCTCTGCAATTTCATGAAATCTAGTGTTTTCTGCACTCCTGTAAGAAAATTCAGTGGTGTGCTTCTGTAGAGACTTCCATCAGCCTTTGAGATGGAAGCCCTGCAGACGTGGGCTGCATGATAGGGTAGGCCTGTCCAAAAGACAGGAGTGCGTCTCCCTGACTGCTATTTTGAATGGCAGTTCAATTTTTAAGCTGGTATATGATGTCCTTTGTCAGTAGCACTTTTCACCAATGTTGTGGAGGATCTAAATGCTTACATTTACTACTTTGATCTCCAGTTGCACAGAAACTCTGCCACCTACTGGGGATGAACGTAATGGAGTTCACCCGGGCCATACTGACACCACGCATCAAAGTTGGCAGAGACTATGTTCAGAAAGCCCAGACCAAAGAACAAGTAAGTTTTGGTGCTTTAAAGGTGCAGTGAAACTGTACCTCATCCTGATTAGCTCTTAGGAAAGAAAATTGGAATTAAGCGTGTGCTGCCACTGACTTTATTTAAGCTTACTGTCTTTATTAAATGTTCTTCTATGGTAAAAATCAGTGGTAGAAGAAACCTTTCCCTTTCCTTGACCTTCTGCTGGGTTTATCCTTTAATGTCATCATTGTATGTATCAAATGCACAGAGAGCTTTTCTGGTTTTATGGAACAGTTTAAAAACAAGTTTTTCATAGCATTAATCAAACTGCATGCTGTTTCTACTACTAGTTTTCATTCCTCAGTGGTATTAACTCCATTAAACTTCTTCTGTGACTTAGTTTTTTGTGATAACATCCATGTCCCTGTTCTTTTGACTTCTCCAGGGTAAATAAATTTTCCTGTTTGGCTTTTCAGGCAGACTTTGCAGTGGAAGCTTTGGCAAAGGCCACCTATGAACGCCTCTTCCGCTGGCTTGTTCACCGCATTAATAAAGCTTTGGACAGGACCAAACGACAGGGAGCGTCTTTTATTGGAATTCTGGATATCGCTGGATTTGAAATCTTTGAGGTACTTCAAAACACTGCTAATCAGACTTTTATTTTCCCTGTTAATGTGCTTTCAGGACTGTGTAGAGCCACTTAATGCATGCATGTTCCAAGGGTGCAGGAGGGTTTTGTTTTGTAGCATGTAAATGGTTTGACAACCTTAAATTACAGTGCCAAAAAGTCATACTTTAGTCTAAATCATTCTTTTGTACATGATGGTTTTTCTTACTATATATAATTTAATTATAAGTTACAGGGAACATAAGATTTGAATAATGCTTATTCCAATTTTGTTTACAATATATTTGAATGTTGCAGAGTTTTGGGGAATTTCCTTGTAAGGTCAAACTTTTGACTTCCAGATATGTGGTAAATCCTGTCACTGAATTATTCTTTTTTACTAATGTTATTTTTGTAGTTGAACTCCTTTGAGCAGCTCTGCATTAACTACACCAATGAGAAGCTTCAACAGTTGTTTAACCACACAATGTTTATCCTGGAGCAAGAGGAGTACCAACGAGAGGGTATAGAGTGGAATTTCATTGACTTTGGACTGGATCTGCAGCCTTGCATTGACTTAATCGAAAGACCTGTAAGTTTGTGCATTAATAATGCTCTAAGGAGAAGAGGTTCCATTTATGGGTTTGTCTTTTACTGCCTTCAAATTGTAGGACTATACAGAGATTTATTAGAGCTGTCACAAAAAGTGAATTAACTTGAAGGCTGAAATCTAAAGTCTAAAATACCATGTAAAAGGTTTTAGCCCTATGGGATTTTGCCTGATGTTAGGGTAGAAAGCTGAGCTAAAGATATTAAGCTGCTATTTTTATACTTTTTTTCCCAAGTACTAATGAAGCCTTTAGTTCTGTCACTTTCATATTAAACAATGCCATTGTGTTCTAGGAGCTTGAGTGGTGGCTCAAAGCTTTTGAGAGGCATACAGTAAACTTTTTTTTTTGTTTGAGATCAACAGCAAAATTTCTGAAACTTCATTTAGGGTAGAGTTTTCCCTATAAATCTGCCTTGCGAATAGGAAAGCAGTATCTTAAAGGTTGTTTTGATCACTGTGCTTTTTAACATATTCTTCTGGTTGCTCAATATATGGAAGCTGAAGAGGGCCTCAAAGAGCAGGGGGAGCAGTTGGATTGGGGGGGTAGGGGAAGGGGGACAACAAAGATCATAATTCTGAAAGTTATCATTCTTCACACCTCAGAACTATGCTGACAAAATTATTTTATGACCTTTTAAATTAAATCTAGGGCATTGCAGTTACTACTCTCTACATTTCTGCGTGTGTATTCTAGAACACACATAAGCTGTCAATGATGCTATGCATCCTGAAGAGCAGAAAAGCCCATGAGCCACATTGTTGTATTTCTTTAGAGAAGGAAAAAAAGGAAATCTTGTTTCAGTTATCAAAGGTTTTCACTTTGTGTGTGGAACTTCAGAAAGTTCTGCCTCCTTGGAACGTAAATTCTGTGCCAATAAGCCTGAGGGGGTAAGTGTGGATGCTTTCAGTATGCAGATGTTTAGGTGAATATCCTAAAATGCATCAAATTACTGGGATTTTTTTTTTAAAAGCAAATGTCAGTACCTTCATAATTGTTCTGTAAATGTAATGCCATGCAGTAGGCACATAGTAGAAGCATCTCTCTTCAAATGTGTAAACTTTACATTCAGTAGAAACTTTTGAAGTATAAATTATTATAAACTCTTTTTTTTCCTGTTGCTTTCCTGTATGTCAGTCTGTCTTCCCTGAGGAAAATGATCCTGTCAAACAATTCTACAACTGCAAAATACAGACATTGCTTGTTTCCTACTTCACTTTACGAATAAACAAAGCTTCAGACGGAGTGCTTAAATTGTATGGAAAGAGAGGGAGTATATAAAACTATGCTGGCTGCTCAAGTTAAGCCTGCTGAATCTCTTTGGATGCTGCTACTGGATATCAGCACAGGGCTTGGCAAAGGGAGGCTCAATGGCTGCCACAGTAGTATCAGGTGGCTGGGAGGGATAATTGTCTTCAGTTTAGCCCACATTAAAGCATGACATTAACTACTGTGGGGATGTGGATGAGCTGCTGTGTACATATGTGTCGCAGAAATGTTTAGAAGGTAACTCTGGAGGTCATCTGTTCCAGTCTTGGCTCAAAGCAAGCTAGTCAGCACTATATCAGGTCACCCATGTCTGGCTCCAATATACATTGGAATGAATTTGTTTGAACCAGTCATAATGTCATCCATTGAACTGGACTCCCCCACAGCTTGTTTTAATTTAAATCAAATTTGAATCAGTTTAGACAACATCTTACTTGTGGCATTCAATGGTGTGTTTTAAATATTAAAATTTAAAAAAAAATATATATA